CCAGGCTGCTGTATTCTTTTGGTGACGTTGCATGTGATGCATTTATACTGGATGGATATTCCCTAATGAACAGCTACTAAGCCTAAAACATAATAGTGGCACTAAATAGGACCAGGTCAGATTAATCAAATTCATCCAAAGTCCAAATATACCGCTCAGGTTCATAATGATCATTATTTTTTAATTGACCGTTTATTTATCTTTTGATTTTTTGGTTTCAGAGCGTCAATCCCAGAAATATGTACATCCTACGCTTGTAGACTGAACAGTTTCTGCATTGGGACTCATAGTTGTGGGAAACACGTGAAATTGAGTTTCGATACAAAAATATGGTTTCCATCTATTGATATCAAAAGAAGACCTTTGGTACGGAATGAAAAGTTCGCTTTCTAATCCTTTCATTAGCCACAAACATGTGAAAAAATTTTTACGGAAATTGTTCTTTCAACTCTATTTCTTTTGCGACCCAACCCATTGACTGAACAGAAAAATGCGATGTTATTCACCTTCATTATAAAATACTCTGTCCCTTCCGCTAAGAGATTGTTTTTTTAACTATTAAATTTCGTAAAAATATGTGTGAAAAAACTTTTTATTCTTTATATATTACGATAATGTGACCTCAAGATTTTGTTTATCTACTTCAATGAAATCAAATCAGTTAATTTCTGTCTATTCCAAACTCTTTTTAGATCCTGCGGAATTTAATCCTATAATCATTTAAGACTAATTGAGCCTGAAAATTCAGTGATTATTATATATAAAAGTAATTTTCGTACGGAAGCATATGTAATATTGTCTAGTGGGAGTAGAATAATAATATTTAAAATATCTGGGAACCCTACACTTCATGAGAAGTTGATAATCTTTAATTCAGAACTGCCATTCAAATTAACGAGTTTGTAGAATATTTGGATTGTCAATCATCAAAACAAACTGATAAATGAGATGTAAAGTACAAAAATGAAGGTTTTGAAGAAATATCATTTGATCTGATTTGCAGAATTGTTTGGTTTCATTGGTGGGTTTTGTTTCTTTTCTTTTACCCTACATTTAAGACACTTAAATTAGTTGAGGTTGTGGCTAACGAGGGAGAGTATGTCTTCACTGAAAAAGGTCCGGTAGTTATCACTGTCAAAGGACCTATACCTTAGAGTATGTTCTTAGGTTTGAATTGGCATAAAGAGCTTAAAGTAGTTTTTTTCCAAATATCTTCCTTATTTTCCGTGTGGTACTTTATAACAGTATGAATCATCAACAGCACCTTTTTCTTCTGAATGCGATTGTGAGCTGTTATAAAATGCGACAAAAATGGACAATAATACCTTTAAACTAACTATTTCACCATTTTCGATAACATGAGATATGGTGTGCAGTTTTGCATTGCATAAAACATCTAGTATTGATAGTAAACCCTAAATGTCCATTATCAAGTTTTTTATGGTATTTTAGTTAATAAACTCATTTTGGCAAAGAAGATAAAATCCGACTTAACCTTACATGACAGACAAATAATTTTTCTAATAGTAAATTCTCTCGAAATCTACTGAGCCATAAATAACATGAAATGATAAGATTGTCGTTGTTCAAGGCTATGGACCCATAAGGATTTAAAAAAGGCCGCAAATAGTTTGGGTTATTTTTATCAAGTAGTGCCTACGCTGAAAACCAGTACTGTTTCTCACCCGTTTTTCTCTGGAATAAATTACAGGAGAGTTTCTTCAAGTACCCGAAACATATTAAATGGGTATACAAATCATTATAATGATATCCACGTCAGTATCCGACATTCCACTATGAAATTCATAAACAAGCAAACATCACTTGTTTCGGGTACTGTAAATTAATGATGTATGCTGCGTCTTCGAAACGAGCGTACGGGATCCGATAGAGTCTTTCATTTAACCTCACCATGTCAAAAGAATAAGCCGTGTCGATTCACCTTTCGTGTATTCTCGCATCTCACCACTAATTTCCGTCACCTCAATGATGCAGGTGCGTTATAAATCAAAATTAGCTCTTTTAGACTGGTGTCTAGTAGATAGTTGTGCAATGTCCGACTAAACGGGACATTAAGAACTCTGAAAGATAGCCACTCGCCTTTGCCTCTTCGTTGTCTCTGCCCACTCTCCTACTGACTACAGCTTGGATGATGTGAAAGTTGAATTTTACTGAAAGTTTTCCTATCTTCTTAAAAAAACTAAGCATTTTGATGTGGTAATAGTGATGAATGATCTTAATGCTGGACTGGATAGATTAAAAGAAACAGAAAGACACGTGGGTGGATCTTATTGTGTCATCGCTCAAGGAACAGATAGTGGCAACTGTCTGCTGTATTTATCCTCAGATAACCCCCTATTTCTAGCAAGTACCAACTGAAAGAATACGGAAAGAGATGTTTTTACATGGCGACCCCCAAAATCGATCCAACGATGAATCCAACTTTACCATATTGTTGTTAACCACCGATGGATATCCTCCATAGAAGATTACCGCTAGTTCTGGGGCATATGTTTAGCATAAGATCATGCTCTAGTATGAGCATGCATATGTCTGTGGTTTATTAAACGTAAGAAAGACATAGCAAGGAAACCTTTTAAGGTTTTTACCTGATGATATAAAAGCGAGGAGAACATTTCAGGAAAAACTAGAAAAACAGTTAGGCAGTCATGTACGTTGTGTCCACCTTGAGACAGATTAAAATGATGTATAGAAAGCTGGGAAATCAGCAGTGATATATGCCAGTAAGGTAGATCATAAGATTGGAGAGGAGCAGTGGACGAAGCTCATGATTCGACATAGGCCCATACATTGCTCTAATGATTACATCACATCCGGTTGCATTTATCAATCTACACGTTTGTGTGGACACACATACATAGGGAGAAGAAGTCGGACATTGCAATCAAGGGTTATGGAACATGTTCCTAAGTGGCTTCGAAACCAGTTAACGTCAGATAACCCGATAAATGTGGGAAACAGATAACCATGTTCATCGATTGTAAAACACATAATTTAGACAGGACAAAAGATTGACATCAAGATAGCCTTCAAAACATTGTGCAGAAACGTTGAAAGACGAATTTCGAGTTATGGGGACGCCTTAGCTATTCGTAAATTAACACCCCCATTATGTGTACAGAAACAGTTTGTTATATCCTTGAATTTTCCTCTTTAAGTCAGTTTATGGCCTAAGGTAATGTGACAATTTCCTACACTTGTTCTGTCTTTCTATGTCCGGTTAATGTTCTCTCTCCTTCACTTACTATCATCGCCTCACGTCTATTTGAACTTTTATTTAATTGACCTTTTATTAATTATATTAAATGCCTTGACAAGTGTGTGCGACCAGACTGTTCGAAATATATAGCACAAATACATTACATTTTCAGATCAATTACGTCTTCTTACTGTTCTGTCAAAAAACTCTATATCTGTCCTCATTAATGAGACATCTAATACATAATATTATTAAAAAACTTTGTTTCAAGGAACCTAATGTGTTCAGGTCTGCAGCTTACGATAGAAGTTTTCTAGGTGTAATGATCCTTTCACTGAATAAGGCACCATATCTGAAGACGATCTTAAGTCATCAAAGCTGTTTGCAAGATATCACTGTATTGTTTCGTCCGCGATTCGTTATTTCATTAAGACAAAATTCCTTAAAGTCTTGCAGTGTAATACTAGGTTGTCTGGTTTGAAACACTGAATTATCCATTAGTTATTGGTTTGAATATGAGGGAATTCATTAGCATATTCGTTTTGGATTTTTTGACATGAGATGACTAATTGCCCACTTTCATCAAAGATTTGAACTTTCTGTTCATCATGATAAGTGTATGGTATAGGTAAGTAATTCAGACTTATTGTGTTTTTCAGAGTTATACTTAAACAGCTTCCAAAAAATTTCACAGCATACCAGCGATTTAATAAGTTTTTTTTTCACATACTGAATTACAAAACGAATAAGATTTAAAGCATATAGTTTTATTGTATGTTACCAAGTGTTTAGAAATGGACTAAACCAAATTTCTACAAAATTAAAAATAAGTAGTCCAAGAAGAAGGATTGGTATAGCATGAGTATGTACAACAACCCGTTTACATTTCGCTTCACTTCATCGCAGTCTATAACATTATATTTATTGGCATTGCATCACTTCCAACATTCTTCTTTAGTTGTTCTTGAAATACCCGATTTATAAAATTGTCCTACCTGCAGAATAATATATATATATATATATATATATATATATATGTCATGTACTGCACGACATAAAAGTAGTTTATTGGCTGTAAAATATGATTATGTGCATCTTGATTTGTATTATACAGTGAGTTGTTTTTGAGGAAGCAAATAACCAGTAATGAAACTGGACCCTTTCAGCGCTTCCTTCTCTTTCAAGGGGAAAAGCTGAATCTTATTCCTAATAAGTTGATTTCACTTTCACTTACTAACGCTTCCTGATGAAAAAAACTTTTATTGAATATGTGTGTGTGAATAAAATGAGTTTAAACGGTGTCACTAGAATTAACAAATTATTTGTATCAGCATAATTTCCTTTTTTTTTGACAGACATCTAATGTACACCACTGAAAATAAGATATGATATTTACAACTCCATTCTTCGTTGATTGGCTATGATACTTTGCCATTATCAACCAGTTTTTTGTATGTGTTAAACTTTGATTGTGTTTATCTTTTCATCTTTTAAAGTTTTTGTATACTCATTTGAAGCGGTTACTCTTTCTCTATAAATATTTTGTTGTCATCATCTTTTCTTCGTTACTGCGTTGATTCAATCATGATTACGATATCAGTAATTTTTTGTAGAATATTTACTCATTGCCATAAATTTTAATTATTTCATATCAATTGTATGATTTAAGTAGTCGTTCATCTTTATTATAACTGAAATTTGTGAATATATATTTGTTCTTAGACTGTTTATAATTTATTTAGTTATTCAAAAGTTTCCAACTTCGTTATTACTTTTTAAAATGTCTGTTTTAGATTTAAACATACAAATGAATGATCTGTCTAAAAATAATCCGTTAATTAAGAGGCATAAAGTGAAAGAATTCACGAAATCAAATTATAAAGCAAAAGTAATATTTCCTGGAATCAATCATCCTGGCAAAATTTACAAAAATGTAAAAATTGTGTCGTCGGTAAAAAACAATTTGAATGTTAAGAATTTCAGTAGTGTGACAAATAAATTAGATATTAGTACTATTTCTGGTGCTGTTGTCAATAACGAACAATTAATTACCAATGATTATAATACAAATAAAACTTTGAATAACAGAAATACAACACAAATAACAAGAATTCTACGTCTTTTACCAAATGATAATCAAAAATACAGTGGGCGTAAAATAACTGTTGTGCGTTGTAATCCTGATGGAAAAGGGCGTACAAGTTTGACTGTAAGTGAAATAATGTTTTATGTGAAATGCTGTTAAATAATCTTTCAATAAAAAATAAGTTATGACTATAAGTATTCAAAAGTATATATAGATCATGCAATTTATAACATAAAATGGTATATTAGCTGGGAGTATTTATTTGCACCTTCACTTCAGTAATGTTATCATTCATCCGATAGTAAAAGCCTTAAAAGGTTGACTTAAACCAAAATGAAAGGTATGGAAATCCGGATGTATATTAGTAAGTGAAAATGAAGTTTGTAATAATTGAGTAAATTAGGTTAATAATAAATAAATTAACCACTGAACTATCTGGAAATTATAGAATGTGCAAGAGGCTGTAGATCAAAGACATAACTACATATGTGAGAAATTTCTGGTCTGATTGTTCAAACAGAAGATCTGACTGTCGTTACGAAAGAGAATAAGAATCTTTTGATAGTGATCAGAGAATAGGATGAAGATAAACATATGTTAGTCATGTATTTGATAGTAAAAATATAAAGTCAAGATATGAGACGTATAGATGAAAGTGGGCAACAAACAGTTGCCAAAACATTATAAGATAAACATGGTGGAAAATACACAAATACAGAGCTAAATAGCGCTTTCGCCGAGAAAATGATCTTGAGAATTGTTTACATACAAGCAAACCTGCCTTTGAATGAAGTATTAACAACGTTTTTTAATAATAAAACCTGTGCATTCGTTCATCATTACTTAATAAATTTCATGATTTCTAATTACCGTATGCATGCACATTAACGTACAAAACTTGTCTCTCTCTTTCTTTCTACTCAACCCGTCGTGCCATTTAAATGATAAGTGGATACTATCAGTTTAAAGTTTTTAAGTCGTGCGATTTTGTTTGAAGAAAAAGTCGTACAAGATTCATTCGAATTTCAAATTTATACATAACTATATTCTCTCACATTTATACCTACTTCTTGCTGGGTTCTTTTTCAGTATTAAATGATCTGCTTCAATAGTATGATTCATTGTATTTCTGTATTTAATTATTAAAAAGTTAATCATATAGCATTATAAACAGTTATTTATTTTTAATTACTTTTTCTTTAAAATAAAGGTTATTATGGCTCGTAGATCGGTACATACATTAGGTCAAATAATGTGTAAATTAACAGAAGCATTTGGATCACGTTGGCACAATGATCCTATTAGACACTTGTATTTACTAACTGGTCGTGAAATAAGATCTGTAAATGAATTATTTCGTAAAGACAAAGTTTTCATTGCTACTGGATTTCATAAAATGTTTGGAAATATTCATATTGAATTGAACAAGAGTAACAACATGGATAATACTACTAATATTAATAATGATTATATTATGAATTCTACTCATCAATCTGTGAATTACAATCATTATCAACAATTACATAATCACGGATTTCATTCAAATCATGATAAAAGCAGTGATGCTACAATTAATAATACTACAGAACTAAAATCAGAAGATATAAGAGTAGGTCGAATGATTGCTTCTAGTTTCATTTTATCTGATTTTTGACCATCAGACCTTAGTGTAATTATATATGTATATCAAGCAAACAAAATGTGATAGTTTCTATGAATTTTCGAAAAAATTTCTAGGTGAACAAGTTACAAATCGTTAAGGTGCAATGTTTTTCAGGGCATCAGTACTACGTGTGGTGAAGATCATTTTTAGGACTTTTTATACAAGCTATTGTTACACTATCCTTGAATTCAAAATAATGATATCCATATCTGTTGACAGTCAGATAATTTTGTATTGAAGTGAAAACATGGCCAGACTATGACGTTGATATTTAACATGTGATCGTTATTTTCGTGTGATGTACAATCTTGTTAAAATATTTGGGTAACAGAATTAGTGCCACTTCTAATCTTAAGCCTATTACTGGTTTCTTCAAGACTTCAGGAATGCTTTGTCAGTGAATGTCAACTATCCCAAAAACTAGGCTCACACCTTTCTGCCTATTGCTTTCAATTATTTACCAATGAATAAAAGTTTGGTCACTAGTTTAAACTGGGTAGAGTTATTAGAAAGACTATTTAAACTGTAAACCAAAACGTAAAATTCTTATGATTACAAGATTCTTTTTTATAGAAGGAGCAACGAGTGTACATATGCATATTAGTTGACACTTAAAATAATATTCACCACACAGAGAATACAACCGAGGAACTAATGAATACAACGAAGAGCTAAAAAGATGTTGCTTTGTATTTTAGAACACCTTTTATCCATAAGAAACCAACTTAATGACCTTCAAGTCCAGTTGAAATCAGTTTTAACACAAAAGCGATCGTGAAATCTCCGTAAACATTTTTTTTTCATTTTCCGATTATACAACCTCATATGCCATTCTACAAAGTGCACTCTACCACAATGTCTATCATCTAATGTGTTTCAAAGTCAAATAAATTTGTTGAAATAATTTCGAGGCAATGTTAAAAAAGTAAATTGTTTGCATAAGTGTATTTATGGGGATGAGAGGCTTAAAATGAAAACCGGTAAACTTGAAAAGATTCAAATTTATTTGATGAGCAGTAAACATCATGCAAACATGCGTGTGAGCATCAAATAACATTTCGATCCTTTAGTTAATTTTTTTCCAAATAAAGAACTAAACTGAAACGAAGAAAAAATTTAAACAACTTTTCGGCTGAATTAAACATTTTTAAAAACAATGTAGTTTTAATAAGTACATCTAATTATTGTGTAAATTTACTTGCACTTTCTATTTAATGTTACAGAACTGTCAATAACTGTCAATTTAGTTAAATCTTATGGAAAATTTTTTTGATCTTTTCATGACAATTTAAATAATTTAGTTATATATATCTATATTAGCTTAAACCAATAAACAATAACTTATGCTTATATTTATATAGTATTTTACGCAACACAAAAATATCACATCACCCATGATCATGGAAGGATTAGAGAATGTTTTTGAAAACATACATTAAACTAGTAGTGAATTCATTTTAATTTAGTACTAATATGATTGCAAAAATTAGAAGTGATAGCAAAAAAAAAATATTTATGCAAACTTTTGTTGTATAAAATAAATAGAAATAGTGTATTAATTAGATGGTTGAAAGTAGTCTGCAGCAAACACTGAAATCGTTTTTGTTACTGGATGAAGCGTATCTCGAATCTTGAAAAATCCGTAGATTTTGTCAGCTAGATTTATAATTGTAAACCTCGACAGTATCCATTTTTCAAAGCACAGTATCGGTCATCAGTTGGTGATAAATCAATCTACATTGTTTTTTGTTGAAAAGGTTTAAGTTTATTTATTGCAAATTGTCACTATTAGATTTGATTTCAGAAGACTATTACAACATAAGCACAGCTAGCTAAGCATTGTCTAATTTGTACACTTGCGGTTCTTTTTTATCAGTACCTTTGGAAAATATTAGTGATTTATCATTAATCGATTACTGTGAGTAGAATTACTTGTACGCGAAAAAAAAGTACTTACATATGAATTACCAAATTAACATTCAGATTAAGCATCCTACGAACAGCGATTTCTGTAAGATTATAAAACACAAATTTATGAAAATGCATTAATCAAAAAAAACAAACAGAAAGAACATTTGCTTTGTGTTCATAATTGGAAGTTTAAAATTACAATTTATTATGCTAAACTTTCACTTCAGTGAATGATTTGAATTCGTTATACTTAAGATAATTGTAATGTTAATAGTAAAATAAAATTGAATGAGCTGATTATCAAATACATTTTATCATATAAAGTGTTAAAAAGTATAAAAATGAATATCTTTTTATTTCTAGACAATTTTCTTAGATGTTTATTAATTAATTGAATACATTCGTTTCAAATAAAACTTTCTGTACACATCTATCTAAAATCATAAATAGTCATTTTTTCAGCTAAGTCATTTAATGCTATCCAACAGCTTAAATACAATGTCAGAATAACACTAACTCCTGCTTTACACCTTCACCTCTTGTCAAAGTGCACTGAGTCCAAGAAGACTAGAAATAACTCAAATGATACTAAAAATAATTTCATATTACTTTGAGTATTTCAAATCACATGCATCAATATCTTGTTTACTTTTTTTGTCAACAAAATATCATATATTTTGTTATTAATCAGTTTTCAGAAATACATTTGTTTGTTTAAAGTACGTAATATATATATATATATATATATATATATATATATATATATATATATATATATACTTAAGTACCTTAGAAAATGAACGCATTCATTCACACACAACGAGATCTATCCACTAAACGATTCATCCCGTGTCTGACTGATTGTACAATTAAGACTATCTTTTATGTTGGAATTTTCTGTATTGATTAATACCCAAAAAATAAAAAGTTGTAAATGAATTGTAGGAGACTATACTTTTTTATAGAGCTGTGATAGCACTAACACAAGTGTCTATTAGTATTTCCATCACTAATTTTGTTATTCATAATAATGGTACATGAGTTTCTCTTAATGTGAATATTTAGTAGTTTTATGTAGATCGAAATTCTTCGAGAGAAGTTATTCAGAAGCAGCCGATCAATTACAACAGTCATTTCATATGAATAAGAAACAACAATATCAGGGATTTCTTTGGCAATAATAATCATCACTATAGAGTCACTAACATATACACTACAGCAAAAAAAGGTTAATGATTAGATGTTTACCAAAATATTATTTCTTTTCTCGTACAAATCCTACTCCTAAAACAATAGAGATTGATTAAAATACTTGTAATACTAATAATCCACAACAATATATATTTCTATCGTTCTACTCTATTTGTAGGACAATTTTACAATCTGATAAAATGTTTTTATTCTAATTTTGCATTTTATATTCAAATTTTTAAGCGCGCACTCTCTCTCTTTTAACTTCTCAAGAACTTTCTCTATCATAATTAATATTATTTTAAAGAAAAAATAAACAAACCTTATTACTCTGATCATCTTGGTCATTTATGACATTTTTGACAATCAACCTACCAACTAACACAACCAACTATTTTTATTCTTTTTTACATATAAATAGCTAAACTAATAAATTTCAAAATTGTGAATACAATTGAACATTTTAAAAGAATGCTCATTTTTGAATGATTATCATTAAAAGTGGTGTTTAAAATTTACAATAGGAATTAGATTCCCTTTTTGTATATTGTTGTTATGAATATTATTCTGTTTTTTTTTATTATTTTACAAGATACAATCTATGATTACACTGATGTTTTATTCAAATAAATTTTGAAGAGAAGAATAGTTTTCCTGTTTAAAAAAGTAATTGTTTAAAGCAGGTTAACGATAATAATTATCAATAAATAGTATATTAGTAGATTCTTATGAAAAAAGGGAATACATTAGTAGCATTTTTAAGGCATTTTTTTTCTAGTGATAACTAATGAACAAATGAAGAAATGAACATTTTTTTAAGATGAATTCTCAACGAATCTATTATTATGATTTGTAATCTACCTATTTTAAAATCAACAAATAATCTTAAAGAAAATGTATTGTTTTCTTTTAAACAATACATTTTATGCTCAAACATTATTATCAACATATCTTGACAGAATGTGATGTCTGCGCATGCTGTATTGGTAATTCAAGAAGTTTATGAATAAAGATAAAAGTTAGATTAAGTGTGCTGAAATTCTATCGTCATAGCTAGAAAAGTTCATGTCAAATAACTGGACTGTTTATCGTATGTATATGTTTCAGTCTGGTTAAATTAACTTATCGACAACATGGAGTAGTATTGCTTATTATTTTCATCCTTAGTTAAGTTGGTTAACTTATTATATGGGAAACATCCAAACGCCGTATTTTAACACAACGCTTGAATGTTGTCAATATTTCAGTGAAACAATGTAACCAAATTACTCACTAAACTAAGGTGTGTTGGTTTTTGTGAATTTAGATAGAATTAATTGCATATACTACTTATTGAGGAGCAACATTTCCCTATTTTATTAGTCATTTCCAACTGTATGGTTTCCATAAGTGAGTTTCAAACTTAATGATAAGTAATAATTTAATCAATGTCGATCATAATTTCATCTAAAAGTCACTATTTGTAGGAATTACAAAATAAAATAGAAGTGAACGGTTTTGTATAATCATGCTTCTTTATTTATTTTTCTAGTGGATAATTAATCCCCTAAAGTTTACATTATATACAAACTATTTTTGGAAACGGTAATTGAAAAAACATTTAAAGGAGTATGGACGAACGAAGCCATGTTAAATATTTTGTTCAATGAAAGTGTGTTTAGGTACCGAATTTTAGTTTCATACGTCTCAGTTTGATTATTTAACAACATTTTTTGAAAAATTTCACAATATTACTTCGATTTTCTTCCAAATTTATAAATCAAACAGTAATTTTAAATGTGTTTATAAGGTAAATTGAATAATTTTTCATCCTACAGGTTTACAGTTTTATAAAAATACTAATCTAAATTTAGTGGTATTATGAAACTACACAATCAAATAATTTGTTCTCCTAAATTCATTTACTAATTGTTATAAAGCAGTTTTAACGTTTATACACATATATACAATAAATATTTAGAAGATAAGAAAAACTGTTAAGTAACGCGTTTGTACTTTATTCATCTTTTATGAATGATTAAGGTGAAACTGTAATGTTTTGAACAAAAATCTAATTTAAGTGTAACCTTCAGCATGAAATGACATCAAATTAAGCATTATACCACATTAGGGAGAATCGGATATTCCAGTATAAGATTTGAGTTATGTCCATCTATAATCATATGCAGTAGTAAGCCAATAACTTACAAATTTTTCCCGCAAGCATAACTTACACATTATTCAATGTTTTGACGATGTAGATTTATTCTTCTATCCATGAATAGCCCAGAATGGGGTTTTTTAAGTGAGGATTATTGAAGAGTTATAAAGTACCCATGTCTTCTTTGAATATTTTATTTTTATTGTTCATGAAAGAGGACAAAATTTCAAAGATATCTATGAACCATTAGTTTTTTTTTGTTTTACTAAAATTTGCATCATCACAATTTAGTACACGAATTGCCAGTTATTATTATTGTTCTTTTTTCCTAATGTCTAGTTTTCAAATCAGAAACAGCACTAGTACAGTCATAGTTCATTTAGGGCAAACTGGTGTTTTAGCTAAACTGATGATTGAAATGTACTATTTCAAATAAAATAGTGTTTTAATTACTGGTAATCAAAATGATTTAGGTAAAAAAGTAGTATGATAATGTACTGTTAAAATATATCTATATTTTAGTACTTAATTCATAGAACTTTAGTTGTTTTGTCTAAACCAAACAGTTTTATTCAAAAAGAAATATTTCTCTCTTTGACTTTTTAGTATAAAATTTAAAAGTAAATAAACTAATTCATTCTAGTATCAGGTATAAAGTACGTAAATTAATAACCTTAAAACCTATGTACTAGATTAAGCCCTTTTGCAATTCAATCCTGATAGGACTGTTAATAAATATTCAAGATGAGTAGTATGTATGAAAATAAACTTAATATCTACTACGTTGATCATATTTTACCTGATTGTAAATTATTCTGAGATTAATTACTGATCTATAGTTGAATTACGTTTGCATTCAGAAAGGCTACGCAGTGAACTAATGAATCAGTCGTGGTTATAATTTACGAATAACTATCATATTTAAAAAAGTATTTGCATTAATCTTAAACTGTTCCAAACCATCTTTCCAAAAACTTTGTAATGACGACAAGCGAACAGTCAAAATGACTACAGTTAATGGTTGAAAAATAGTCACTCCTTTGAATGCTTACTTTAAGTGTTTTGTTCAACAATACAATACAATTTGATCCATTTCAATCATGTCTATTTAAAAAGCTTATCAAATTTGATGACTGTTCACTGTGTTCTCTTAACTAACTGATGTTAGACTTGAAAAATGAATCCTAACAGAACAGAAATGATTTTTCAATAAATGTATCACAAAATGAAATTCTATGTATAAGTTTGGTTATCGCTGTAGCTTTCAAGTTTTAGTTTTAAGATATGCTTCCACAATTTATTAACGTTTACACTAAAATGGACAGTTACATTGTAAATCATCACAAAAAAAGAATTATTTTTAGTACTGTAATATTTCTTCCTAACTCAACTTACTTGAAAGTAATAAGAGGAAAAGAAGTGACTTTTCACATATTTGCAAACAGTGGGCAATGTCATTTACTTCCAGAGTACATTTATCTGTGAATATGAATCTCTTTAATGGTCGGTTGACTTTGATTATCAGAAAGAAGTTTTAAATGAATTCAAACAACTAGTTACTTAGTTATCATTGGTGTTCCAACTAATTTCAAGGCTTAGTAGAAACCATATGAAATAAAGTATTCACATATAAAAGGCATGATCAATAGTAGATCAATTATTTCACATGACCTAAATGCATGTGTTCATGTGACTTTATAAAAAAGTGAGACAATCATTTAAAAATAGATTAAATTACAAACAGAAATAGGACAGTCGTAGTTAAAACACATTAATCTCATGGATTTTTATATTCAAAGATCAGGAAATATTTGTAATACGTGTTTTTTACGAAGTGCTTGGTAGACGTTAGTACTAAACGTTCAAATAGACAAATGAGTGAGTCATTTTTAAAAGCAGAAAATGAATAAATTCATTAAACTGTATAATACAGTATAACTTTCTTATATGGATCCAAAGTAATTCATTTCAAGAAGTCAACTTATTAAACAAAGAAGTAAACTGTTCTTTTAATTCTGAACACTGACACGATATTTTGAAACAATAAAAGTGTACAACTTTGCGTAAAAATCAAAAGTGGAATTAATTTATCAATCACCATCAAGTTGGGTATAACTGGTTTTTCTCATATGCAGTCAGAAACAATGTAGAACATACGAGATTTTCATATTTGTTGAAATGATAATGATTAACTAAACATAATTTTTAATGTGGAATCATCTATTAAAATAATATTGAATAATCTAGAAATCAATTCAAAGAGTTAGACAAATATGCTAATCTTTTTTTTCAAAAGATTGGTTTGATAGGTAAGTTGAATCAGGTTATTGATGAGTCAGATTGAATGATATTTCAAAAGATAGTTAATGTTGCCGGTCGATACCAGCTAGATAGTAATTACTAACTAATTCCTATTACTATGGCACACCTCAAGAAATAAACTTTAGTTGGAATAAAATATAAGACAAAGGATATTTATTTCATATCATTGAGTCGAAACTCAGCAATCTGCATCTTCCACATTATTAAGTTTGTGATTTGTTTAAAAACCCGGACACAGATTTGTTTGATTCTGTGCTTGAATTAACCCACCTTCAGCAGGAATAGGGCTCAAGGTTGTATAGGATATAAGGGAAGCTAGATAGCTTGTTAGTTTTCCTGAACGTTACCACCTGAAAGGTGTTGAGGACTGTCATCTAACTTCAGTAAAAAGCGTTCTTCTAACCTACTGGTTTAAAATTGAACAGATAATGTCACTTCTGAACTCCAATTTTGAGAACAGTATTCTCGTAGACACCTTTGATTTGAGGTATTACTCACATCTAGTTCTTGTTGAGCCATTAGTCGTTTTAGTTATCCGTCCTTGCTAAACGGATTTGCTCTTTCTAATCATATGAACCACGCTTTTTTTCTACATTGGTCTCGTACTTAATCTGCACAAACCTTTAAGAGTGAGTCGTATTTAGTTGGTGTTTGTTGTAAGTATACATTCAATCAACCCACTTTCCTTAAATCTAGCGATGATATATCATCTGTTAGTTTGCAAATTTGGCTAGCGGCTAAGTGATATTAAATTTAAGGTTCATATATTATATCTATGAGTACTATTAAAGTATCTTATGTATAAAACAACAAAATTTTCACTCTGATTGCTGTATTTAAGCTTTATGTTCTCCTGCATCATATTGGATATTTATCGTGTTGTTAGTCATAAAGTATGGATATGTTTGGAAGTCACAATTATCATTTAATTGAAAGGAAATATTACTTCATGTTGTTTTATTTTGATTTCTAAAACTTGTTATTTGTTTGTACCCTTCATTGATTTTTGTCATCAATCCATAAAACAGAAAGGTTACATTTATAAAAAGCGTAATTATTTATAAAAATGTGAAAAATTGACATGTCATGAGAAGTTTTTCTTGTAATTTAATAGATTATTTTATCGGAATTTTGGCCTGATCATCCTGATCCATCCAGTGTGGTTTATCAATGGGAACGTCGTTTACGAAGTCGAGGAGGTGTCGGAGTAACATCAGTCAATCAACAATTTGATACAAACAAATATTTATTACTTGAAATTTCAAAATCAAAACAAAAATCCTCATTAAAAACAAATCATATGATTTCTAATATGAAATATTCATTCAATGAAACATTAATTGAAGATGAGAAAAAAGATAGTGGATTTGATGAATTAACAATAAATAATAATATTTTACCTAAAATTGATGAAGAACAAATTCAAAAAGAACAATCTATTTTAATGATAAAAAATTCTATTGAAAATAAATCAAATCAACTACCAGCTATAGAAAATTATCCAAGACTACTAAGACAAATTAATTCTACTCAACATCCTGGCTATGTAAAATTAAATTACACTAATTCAGAGTATGTTTATTTGATATCATTTGAAAAATGCATCATTTGTATACGATAATTTATTAGGGTTTAAATTGTTCACCTTTTTTTGTAATTACAAATTTTTTGGTTTTAGTCTCCTTGATAATGATTGAAATAATTACTAAATAATAAATATGTAGAATTTAAAAATCTACATTTTACCATTTTAAAAAAAGCGAAATGAATAAATTCTCAGATTATGTTCTTAGTTATTCCTAGAAGAAATGTTGTTTATTAAGTGGAACTTTATACCTTTACAAAAAATGAGGTTTATTTAAAATTAGAGATACTATATCGGTCTTAAGTAACTACAAACAGATATGTTCAATGTGAAATGAAAATTTAATAAAAATCAGTTTATTAATTCAGTGTGTCAACTTGATACACAAATGATTCTGATGAAAGTTTGATTTTTGATTTTATTGGTTTATTCGAAATATTTTTTTAAATGTGTTTTTTTTCTATTTCAGTCCTAAATCAAATTCTCATTCTCTTGTAAATGAAGAAGAAAATAATTTAATTCCTTCAGAAAAATTCATTGAAGAATTATCATTAAATAATAAATGCAGCATAAAACTTCATGAGAAACCTTTCATTCCAAAAAGATCAATGAAATCTCAATTATCACAACAAAATGACATGAAAAACGATACGAATAATACATTACTTAATGTGGATTCAGTTATACCATATTCACAATTCTATCATTTAGCTTATCAACCGAATCTTTCAAGCGGTCAACAGAAATCGTTTCAACTATCTATGTACCCTCATCATCCGTCTTTTTTGTTGCCAACCCTACTATTTCAACAACAACAGCATCAGCAACAACAACAACAACAACAAAGAAACCAAAAGTTTAAAAAATCTGATAGTATAGATAAAATCTTATCAAGATATCATAATTGTCTACAAATTGGTAAAAGAGTTCTTCAACGAAATGAAAATCGTCGTCATGAATTGGTTATGAAAGAGAATCGGCTACCGGAAAATCACTTTGTTGATAAAGTAAATAAATAGAATGAAATTATGTAATAAGTAATTAAATGTTTTCTTATTTGTTCAATTCAGTTTGAGTTGATTAAGAATCACAAACTGATTTTGGGCATAAATGTTGATGAAAGTAGTTCATTAATGGCTTTTTTGTGTTCATGGTTAACCTTTTTCTTTCTGGCTTATTTGTTTTTAAAATTATTTAGAAAGATATGAATTTATCCGGATAAAGGTTTGATTACGTGTCCGAATATAATATGTTTCTAAGTGAGTTGTTCATTAGTCAATACAATGAGTGGGTTGTTCAATGATACAGTCATACCATATGAATATAAATTTCATCATTTAAGGATGCCAGAACAAGACAAATGGTTTCCTAAGAAACATATTCAACAAAAACTCCTCCTAGTTATGAAGTGTTCCATATCACTCACTCATAACTAGATACAGCATATAGTAAAAACAGCTATAGCTGAATATGTGAATTATTGGATACCGACCATGTAATTCAGTAACATTGGATTCTCCTATAACATTCAGTCTTCAACCCCATACATGGCGGTAGTAAGGATTAATATTTAGTCATAATTTGCAATTTTATAATGATTCTCATGACTGACAATGTCTCTCATTTAAATCATATATGTTTCTACCGAAACACTTTGATTTAACTGACAAAGCACAATTAAAATACGCCTTGACAAGACGAATAATCAACTTGTGTAATTGCTTAGTTAAGTAACTACATTTAACTTAATGTGCTGTAAAAATCTTACGCAAATTAAATAAATGATGTTTTAATAAACCTGATTTTATGAAGAGCATATACCATATAAACATTTAAATAAATAAATAAATATAAATTTCCACAATTATCTAAACTTGGTCATTGTGTATAGAAACAGCCCGACCGTAGCTGCTACCTTGACGTGGTGGTCGAGACTTGCCTATCCTGATGACCCAATCGAGCTATATTGGCTCGAATATATGTTCCTGAAGGTTCTACCATGCCAGGAAGATCAATTGAAGAACGATTAGACTAAAAGCAGCTACTCAAGGTCTCAGGGCGAAGTCGTACTGCTGACTCCAGAGAGGTGTGACAGCAGTAAGGTGTTTCCCTCGGATAACCAGCATCTGCAGCGATGCTGCCTTCTCACAAGGAAGGGAGGGTTAGAAAAGGTCGACCCTAAAAATGTCACACCTCACCCTACCTCACGGATTCCCGTCTTCGGCGGTAAGGGTGCCCACTAAGGGCTTTAAAATGAGCGGAGCTAATACTCAAAAAACCCTTCATAAATAGGCCGTGCGTGACTGGCCTCAAGCAGTTGTCCCTTGGGCTCTGCGGTCACGCAACCAGGTCTCTAAGACTGACAATAAACTACCTTCCTTTTCAGTTTCCTCAAGAAACAACCTTCCACTTTGTGGGCAGCCGGGAAGTGACAACCGCCCTCATACCCGTAACAGCACACGAGACCATATTGATCAAAATCAAATCCTTCCTACAGCCCCTAATACCTCTATTCTCTCCACAAAGAACTCTACTCACAGTCCCTTTTCTCACTGCACCGCTAATGCAGACGAAGCAAGTTCACGAAACGTCATTCCTGGTCTCTTGAAGCCACGTTCTAGACTACATGTTGGAGCTTATAATGTACGGACATTGTGTCAAATAGGGCAACAGGCATCATTAGCTAGGACTTTAGAATCTCGTGCCATCGATGTATGCTGTGTCTCAGAAACGCGCATACAGGATCCGAGTGGCATCATTCACTTGATCTCACCATGTAAAGATAAAGAAACAACTCGATTTACCCTTCGTGTATCCGGTAGCCCTGATTCTGCTTCCCGCTGTCTCGCTGGTGTCGGTATAGCATTTAGTTCTAGGGCAGAACTATCTCTCCTAGACTGGATCCCTGTAGATAGTCGCTTGTGTGCTGTCCGACTAAACGGGACAGTAAGGACTCGGAAAGATAGGAACACCCGTCGTTGTCTTTTCGTCGTATCTGCCTATGCCCCCATTGACTGCAGGTCAGACGAGGTGAAAGATGAATTCTACAGAAAGCTTTCGGACCTCCTCCGAAAAGCTAGGCGCTCTGATATAGTAATAATGGCTAGTGACATTAATGCTCAAGTAGGTAGAATAAGTGAAAATGAAAGACACCTAGGTGGATGTTATGGTGTCACGGCTCAGAGAACAGATAATGGCGACCGTCTGTTGCAACTGTGCTCAGATAACCAACTATTTCTAGCAAACACTAATTTTAAGAAAAAGGAAAAACATCTTTTGACCTGGCGACCCCCAAGGTTGTCTAAACGTTGGACGCAACTAGATCATATCACCATCAGCCACCGATGGGGAGGTTCAATAAAGGACTGTCGCTCGTTCTGTGGCACATGTCTAGATTTAGATCATACTCTAGTGCGAGCGCGGATTTGTTTGCGCCTTACTGGGCGCCAGAAAAATATTGCAAAGAAACCTCTTAGGGCTTTACTTATTGATAGTCAAGCTAAGAAAATGTTTCAGGACGAACTAGAAAAAAAGTTAGGACACCATGCAAATGATTCCCCTCCGGAGGCAGGTTGGAATGATACCAAAAAGGCTGTGGAAACAGCAGTGATATCTGCTAGCAAGGTTAACAATAAGGCTAGAATGAAGCCGTGGATTTCAGTCGCATCCACCGAACTGATGAATGCTCGAAGACGCATCCCACCTGAATCTGAACATGATGAAGAGCGTAGTCAGCTTAGGCGCAGACTTATAAAAAGCCTACGTAACGACCGCGAACGGTGGTGGGTAGCGAAAGCGAAAGTGACAGAAAAGGCAGCGGCGATAGGCAACAGTAGACAACTTTTCCGCCTTATTAAAGAAACCGGTATTAGGAACCTGAATGTGAGTGAGACAATCTCGGAAAAGGATGGTCTTATTATCCATTCTCAATCCATGAGATTGGACCGATGGGCAGAACACTTTATGGATCAGTTCAACTGGTCTTCAGCCACACTTCGTTTGCCCACGATCCACAGTCATCTTGAATGGCCAATCGATTTAAGTTCTCCTAGTCTACATGAAGTTGAGAAAGTTATAGGAAATCTAAAGGGAGGTAGAAAAGCAGGCCCTGATAGGCTAACCCCTGTGATTTTTAAGGATGGTGGTCCAGTTTTAACAGTTAGACTGACCGAGATCCTAGGTAGAATCTGGAAACTGGACCTAATCCCATCAGACTGGCCTCTACCGCTGTTTGTCCCTATCTACAAGAAAGGACAAAAGTCCTGTTGTGACAATCACAGGGGAATAAGTTTACCTAATATAGTTTCTAAATTGTTAGCCTAGATTATACTTAGACGTCTAACTAGAGCACGCGAAGAGCAGACTCGAGAAAACCAGACTGGTTTTCGACCTGGACGTGGTTGTATAGACCACATCTTCACACTACGACAGGTCCTGAAACACAGACATACATTCAGGCGTCCTACAATAGTTGTCTTACTGGACTCAAAAGCGGCATTTGACTCAGTGGATCGTGAGGTTCTGTAGCAGTGTCTGTCATTGAGAGGTGTACCAAAGAAGTACATTAACCTTATATAAGCTCTCTACTCGAACACCACTGGTCGAGTGAGAGCATATGGCGAACTGTCATCTAAATTCTCTACATCAAGTGGTGTCCGTCAGGATGTCCACTCTCTCCATTCTTGTTTAACTTTGTCGTAGACATCCTGTTAGAGTTAACATTAAGCTCGTCAGATTTCTCAGGGGTTGACCTTCTACCAGGAAATTCGCTTACTGATCTAGAATATGCCGATGACATAGTCCTACTTGGTGAAGATGCTGACAAAGTGCAAAGTCTTCTGACCACCCTAAGCAACAATGGGAGCATGTTCGGGATGCGGCTTTCCCCCCCCCCCCGAAATGCAAAATGTTGCTTCAAAACTGGGTTGCCTCGGCACCTGAACTAGTGATAGGGAGTGAAGTAGTCGAGCTTGTTGTTCACTTCACTTATCTGGGGAGTCTCATCAGTGCTGATATCCTGGCGACTGACGAAATCTCAGCACGGATACAGAAAGCTCGATTTGCTTTTGCCAATTTACGCCGTTTACGGCGTAGGCGAGATATCCGTTCTCTGACCAAAGGGCGGGTGTACTGCGCAGCAGTTCGCTCCGTTCTCCTTTATGGATGCGAAACATGGCCGTTAAGAGTAGAAGATGTTCGTAGGTTACTAGTATTCGATCATAGATGTCTTAGAAGCATTGCTCGTATATCGTGGGACAACGGAGTGAGCAATGCCGTCGTTAGGAAATGAGTATTAGGTAAGGAAAGCAGATCAGTAGATGAAGTTGTGAAACTCACTCAGTTGTGGTGGATGGGACATGTGTTACCAGCGCGTAACCACCGACTGCCTCGACGACCGATGTTTTGTGGTGTAGGAGTAGGTTGGGAGAAAGTTAGGGGCGTCCAGACCAGAAGATGGCAGAAATCCATGAAGTCACTGATAAGTGGAATGAGCCATGTTGCTAGATGTAGGCTACCTGGTTGGGGTCGATGAGATGAAAGTCACCAATGGTTAGAGACCTTGAACGACATGGCTCAAAATTGTTTGCAATGGCGCAAGTGCATCCACTCGTTGTGCTCTCTCAAATCCTAATCTTCTGGATTCGTCAACACATCTACCTTTGTCTTTCTGACCTTACCCCACTGAATTATACTTCTTGAATAATATCTTCAAACCCTAGTCTTCTTCATTACCATTAATACCTCTATTATCTCTATTAATATGGGATTTTATTAGACATTTGCGTCTCTGTGCTAATGTTGTATGTCAACATGAACTGATGCACTTACGTACGAAGTTCTACGTTGCAACTGACTGACTGACTAACTGTATAGAAACAGAATAAGCTAAAGAGAGATAATGACAAAATCAAGTACAAGGACTCAGTCTAACCAACTTTTTAATCATAGGGTAAATAAAATGATTAAACAGATAACAATCAAATATTCATAATAATTTTTATAATACTAATGAAAATTAGGAAGAAAAAACATTGATATTTTTTTAGACTAATCGGCATGCATTTCATAGGTTTCTATAAATATAAACGAAAATAATGAACCCAACTGTATTAAACACTGTAAAACAGGCATGAAAATGTAACTATGATAAATGACAAAGCTATTAAAACACTTAAATATACGATGATTGACAGTAAGGAGAATATTTACAAAGGTTGCAAATGAAAACACTTAATTAAAAAAATGTCAGACATTAAAGTATTTATTCTTCAGTAAAACAAAAAAAACAACATTTTTTAAGCATAAGCTGGATTACTTTGTTTCTGCAATATAGAGGGGAATTCAGCACAAGAAAGTGAGTGAATTTATTTCAACATACAATAATGCTTTTTGTTCATGTTTCTGACATAAGTTAATATAAGAAATTAACTATTTATATGTAAAAGATAGGAATATTTGTCAAAATGCATTCTTTGACTTTACAAAACTAGTTAATTTGAATTTATGATGACTAGTGATAGTGGTTAAACAATTATTAAACGTTTGTGTAAAGTTGATCAATGCGGAAGTATTGATTTTGTAAAATGATCATTTACCATTGTACATTATTACACATCCATGTCTACAAATGACTCGAGAACAAACAAACATTTTATTCATTTATTTATTTACTTTTGTATTTTATTTTGTTAGTGATTGAGTAAAAAAATGATTATCTGTTTTGCATTTAATTCTTTTACGCTTACTCTTTCAATTCGTCAGGTAGCTGCTGATAGTATGTCATTGAAAATTAAAACTCAAAAGGAGAATTCTTTAAAATCAACTAACAACTATCAACAAGATAAATTATATCATTCAAAAAATAATTTAACAAAATCAACTTCGAATACATGCACTAAGGCGAATGATATGCATGAAGCACAGAATCATGAAAATGCATCATATATGAAAGAATCAATACAACATTCCACTAAATTAACAAATCAATCATTCACCACTCCACAACAATTTAAATTAAATGAACTATTGAGAATAAACAAGTCGATTACTAACAATAACAATAATAATAATAATAATATTACACCTAGTATTATTAAAATTAAAGATGTTAACTCAATCAGTATCAGTGATAAACCCCAAGAAGATTGTAGTGATATGAAAATTAGTAAACAATCTAATCAGTTATCACAGACAAACCAGAATATGAAAACAAATGATCGGACTAATTATAACAATAACAAAGTAATCATTGAGAAGGATCAATCAATAGTTATTGTTAGCACACCAGTCATAATCACTGATCAATCCAAAAATTATGAAAATCATAACATTATTGATAAGAATAACAATGTACAAATGGAAATTAAACGCCAGAAAATAAATCATATTTCAGATACCATAAAGAATAATCACTGTCCCAGTATTCATAAAGAAATTACAGCTGAAAGTAAGTAGTTAGATATTTTGCATCTATTCTAAATTAATTGTAACAAAAGGGCTATGTCGAAACAATCATAAGATCAATATGTACGAATAAGGACTTTTCATAATGTAGTCCTGAATTTTTAACCACGGAATAACCTAAACTCTTAATAGTAATGATATGATACTTCATTCTTTATTCAATAAGGCGTAGGTTACCGGGTTCTTGTTACACATTAGGCCGTCGATACATCTTTCCAACGAGCCCCATATATGATATTATATGCGTTCCGGATTTCAATGCAAGCTACAAACCATCTATTCTAATTAAATATGTGGCTCAGATTGGCAGTCTATCGATCATGATAAAACTAATAAAAGCAGTAACGTTTAGCAAAAAAGGGACTTATATTCTCAGTAGTTGTTTTATAATAATATCCTAATCAGGTTATTAACAATTTACGAAATGAGTTATTTGACAATTTCAAGTTATTGTTCTTTATGATTCCAATTATATGAAGTTATCATATACTACAGTAGTTACCAATCTCCATTTCTTTTTCATTCATTTCTTAATTGGAATCTGACACTAATATTTAGATATCAACTAGCTTATTTCTCTACTTATAAAGATTTGAATTAATAAAGAAAATATGAATATGAAACCAGCTAGATCACCTGTCTATAGTTGATATTTTTTCCCCAGGAATGTTCTCTTAGAGTTATAATAATTAAGCGCAGATAAATATACCTTCTTTAAATTAAATTGTTTTCTATTATTATTTGTCAGTAAATCAAAAATAATAATAATAATAATTGTGATGATTTATAGAAAAATCATTGTCTGTTTAACTTATTCTTTTAGATGAACAATTAAAATCCTCGAAACCTATAATAAATAAAACATTTAATAAGGATGTAAAACAACTACCGAAAGAGAAGAACGTTGATATCATTGAATGTAATATTAATGGAGATGTTATTATACAGCAAGAGTTGAACACAAATGCATCAAACAGGGTTATCAACACTCATAGCACTACTACTACTACTACTACTACTACTGTCACTATTACCACTACTACTACTACAACTACTATTACTACTACTACTACTACTACTACTATTACTACTACTACTACAACCACTAATAATAATAATCTTACATCTAACGTTAAACTGTTGGACATTCATAATGGTACACAACAAAAACTAATTGCGAATTGTTTTACAGTTAGTGGGATTAGAAAATCAACTAATGATAAAATCAGATCAGTCTTTACGGCAATTGGGGTAACATATGTTTCTGGTAAGATTGTGATCTTTATTCCGCGCTTATTTCAATATCATTCATATGTATATAGATCATTTAAAAATTTATCAGCATTATGTATGTTATTAATTTAATAGAATATAAATCAAATTTTTATCATAAATATGTTGTTTAAAAAAAAATGGACATTTAATTCTCAGATACTTGATAGTAAAGTGATAAACATGTCTAATTAACAATTATTTGACAATTAGTTAAATGTAGAATGTTGAAATGATTAAAATTTGATAATTTTAATTAGTTTATCTTATAATATCATAGTTTATATTACTTACTAATCTTCATTGGATAACCATTGAAAACCAGGATATATCATCAGACTGCTGTTTTGTCTTTGCATGAAATTTATCAACAATGAATTTCCACGAAAACACATCAAAAATTAAGTCCATATAATATTTAGGCGATTGGATGGGTTACATGTCTAACTTTAATCAACTTTCGATGTTGCTCAACTAATTATAGTTTATGAAATAATTCTATCTTGTGTTTAAATTAGCAGAGATTCAAAACAAAAATAGTTGTTTTACATAAATTGTTATAGTGTATGCTGTTTGTGTGGTTTTTCTCATGTTATTGAGGAAGTAGTCTGTAGGATGGTAACAGCACGAAGTATTCATTGTGTCAATAAACTTCACTTATACTTCATTCTAAGTATTTTATTTGCATTCAATGTAAATAAATAAGAAACAAGTGTATTGACATTCTCATTGTTCTGCAGAAATTACAACATATTTTTGTACTTACAATAAACGCATGATATCGTTATTTATTTTTTGCACAGAATTTTATACAAATTTCGACAGACTAAAAATAGTATAAAACTATTTCGCACATTTAAATTTACGTTTTACTAATTAAAAGGAATTATATTTAGTCATGAAAGCAATATTAAGTTTCTTCATTATTTGAACGTACATTACTAAGGAAAAATTGCTTCGTATTATCAAGAAGTAAAATTTATCTGTTCATTAAACTGAACTTTTGGAATTTTCAAATAAATACTAACTCCTATATTGATTTATTGCCCTAAAATACTTTGGCTATTTGAAGTATAAAGGTAATTTATCCTTTCACATAGAATCGTCAATCAAACGCCATTTTCTGAACACTATAGATGAATATTTCAATTTTTTTCTGTGTACTTTGCAACTAATGTATGAACCTTCGTGAACAGAACAGATTCAATAGGTTGGACATTGGCTGAGATAGTTGCGTAATATGATACTGATGAGTTGTGTTGATGTGTTGAGACTAATTGATTTCAGTCTCACCGCTATCGTAATCACTATGACTGGAGGCGTTGGGTGACATAGGTCAGAATCATATACAACTGGTTAGAATTGTTCACTTTTCCTAATTCGTTGGACGCAGCCTCACTTTTATTCTATACGTCTCACTCCTTGGATTCACTCCATTGTTTAATCCTCCTCCCTAAAGTTGATAATATACTTTTCGCATCTAGAGCTTGTTGATTCTATCTTGCTTTGTTGATGTGATTTACCAACCTAAACTGATAGGCATCAGTACATATTCTTTATTAAGTATGAATGACTAAAACCGATGAAGCATCTGAGATGTAAAAAAAATTATCAGCTGAAGAAATTACATAGGTCAACTAATTCACTTAAAATTTATGTATGTCCTTTATGGAACCACGTTTCAATATTTGTTTTCGACCACCAATACATGATATCTCTGTTTACTTTGTTAAGTATCCGAATGTTGATGTTTTTCTCTTTTCTAAACAGATCCTGATTATTTATCGAAACGTTATCAAATTGTTCGTAAATTAGGTGATGGTAATTTTGCTATTGTTGAACTAGGAAAAAGACGTGATACAAATGATCATTACGCTTTGAAAATAATTGAAAAAAGCAAACTCACTGGTAAAGAAACCATGCTGTTAAATGAAATTCACATATTACGTCATTGTCGTCATCCAAATATTGTACGTTTATATGAAGAATTCGAAACTGCTAGTGAAGTATGGCTTGTTATGGAATTCCTAAAAGTGAGTTTAATTACCTTTTTCATTTGTGTTTCGACTTAAATTATTATGCTGATGTGTGGTACTGTCAGTAAAAATGTGCAATTTATGCAAAGAAATATTTCTTCAGTAGTCAATAAACAAAAATCGACATTTTACTCATAGTATGTCTTCGTTTCAGAATGGCATCAACTCTTGAAGCACTGAAAGTTCGAAGGAACTTGGATGTTGTTCAGTGCTAGTTAGAAGTTCCTTGTAAATGAAAGTTAATAGTTTAACAGCAACCATAATACTCTTAAACTAATGAATCTAAATCTCCTCTACTCAATGCTTCCAATTTTACTCAGCTAGTTATTTAATGCCACGATTGCCTAGTGTTGTTGTTATTGTTATTTATTTCAATGTATAAGTGACAAAACTCTATCAATAATAGTCTCTTACTGATAGTTTAGATTTCTTTTCGAGCCTTACAAGAATTGAATCATCTGTTGCTTATAAACGATCTTTTAGTTTATGTTAGTCTGCCTATCATGAAAACAAACCTCAAAATATATAATCTCAAAACCGTTCATATATTAAAATAAAGCGTTAATGTGAAAATTACTAGTTTCTAATATTAACTTGACTAAATTTATACCTTCAATGAAGATATGAGAATAATAATCAAAACAAATATACATGCTTTTTTGAAACCATGAATCGATCAATGTTAGACCACCATTAGAAACCTGGTATGGGACTTCTCAGCAGTGTGCATCCATGACTCCTGCACCCCGCAGGATTCGAACCCAGGACCTTCGGTATTGTGCGCGAACGCCTAACCATCAGACCCCCCCAGCCGGTATCTAACGGTGTTACTGTCTAACTTGATCAATTCACGGAATTGCGCAACCTCATACACAATCTTCGGTAGCTACTGTCTACACCCGAACACGTTGAACTTCACTGGTCACGTCTTCCCACTAGAACTCGGAGAATATTCCTCACGAAGCTAGTCACTAGTGAGCACAGGTGATTTGCATTACGGGGTTGTGTAACTTAACAACCTTTACAACCCCGTAATGTAAATATACATGCAACATAACAATATAATAATAGATCAAGTGATTTGGTTAACGATTACATAATATACACAATGATATGAATGAAATGAAACATCGTGACATGAGACATATGTTGAATACATTCTTCATTATATCTCATACATTCATGATAAAGTTTATTTATTTATTTTCATTTATATCGCTTTTAATTCATAAAGAAATAACAAATTTTAAAGTTAGTCACATATTTTACTTAAGTGTTAATGTAGTTTGTGACCATTGAAATTGTACATAGTTGCAGAAAAATCATTGTTACTTGTATATGATAATGATTTTACGTCAGCATGAAGTTAGTACCGATAACTTGGAGTTGTTAATTCTTAAACGCTAATGAAATTGATCATATACGACAGGATCGCTAGATAAATATATTGAATAGAACAGAAAGTGTAAACCATTGAATTATTGAACAAGCATATTATTTCATTGATAGAATAATAAATAAATCCAAGTTAAATTTACAGAATAAACGAATAAAACAAGTATGATTCTAAAATCTCCTGCACATCTGAATGAGTTTTAATTTCATATCAAAGTTAATAAACTTATAAATTACCAACATTGAGACTTTTTGACTTTAGTCGATTCATTCTAGATTGATTCAATAGGTACTATTATTTTCACTTTAGCATAATATAAACCTGATATTCATTTGCGACACAAATTCATAGCTACAATTATGTAACGCATTGTTTGGCAGAAAAACATGTTATTTGTATGTGGTTTTTCTGTATTCTTGAAATTCGCTTAACAAGTATCCCTACCGGTTAAATGAATTAAGTTGCCTTGTTTTGTAAATGATAGTTTTGTCTGGTTTTTTCAGTGTTTTCTATTTATTCACTTGACAATCTTAGAATTCTCGTTTTTTTTTTAATTCTGAAAACATAAAAGAGATTAACTTTGCTGTTTATCATTGTTTTAAACAAACAATCTAGTATGTGTTTTCCATTTCATTTTCTCTACATTGAAATAATTTAAAAGTTATATAAAATTTACTAGAATATTTAAGCAAGTTCCATATTATATATATTACATGAAATGATTGATAGATTAGCTGTTCTCATCTTCTTTATCTTATTCTCTCTTTTAGTCTATTACCCTCATTGTTGTTCATTTAATTAAGTTTCATTTGTAAACGCAGAAATCATCACTATGCATTGGCGTCCTAAAATCTTACTGTAAATAAGTTTAATATTATATATTAATGAATTTTCAAATAATTTTTGAGTTACGCTAGATTACACAAATGAATGGCTCTGTAAATAAAGAATAAGAAATATTATAATTTCTCAAGGGACTAATTCATTGTTAGTTGATTATGCAAACATCATTTAAATAGATGTATATATATATATATATATATATATATATATATATATATAGTCTGTAGGTACATGAATATACCATCAAGGCAGTGAATATATTGAGTAGTATGTGAGGAATATGTTATTTTTCGAAGCTAGTTTTGTGTATATAATGAAAAAAATGTTTGACAGCCATTCGGAAATAAAGAAACAGAAAAAATAAAGGCTTCGTTTAATCTCTTACTTAAAGTTCTTGAATATTTTTCGGTTAGTGAAATAAAAATGTTAAAAATAAAAAAAAAGCGGAAGTTAATTTATGATAATGAAGTGAATTATTTAACTCAGATGCTTTAATTTATCAGGTTGAGAAAATTTAAACTTTTACATCATTGATTTAGGTGGGTTATAGAAAAGTCATGGAATCCTCAGAATCAATTTTCTTTGTGTGACTCAAGTAACTTCTATTGAAAAATATTCTTATAGTTTTAGTAAAATTCACATAGAAAAAGTAAACTAGTTGTCTAGTACTTTATTTATTCAAGCTAATCATGCTACTACTAGGCCGTATTTTAATTAGATAACTCTGTCTGTATTCATAGATGCTCTATTCCTATGACATTATATTTCATTTGTTTTTTTTAAAAATTTTCATTATAGGACGGTGATTTGTTCGATGGAATTATTCAAGCAAAGAAGTTCACTGAACCGATAGCTGCTGTTATAGTATCCGATTTAGCTAATGCCTTATTTTATTTACATTGCCGATCTATTGTTCATCGAGATTTAAAACCTGAAAACATACTGGTAGGATTGTGTTTATGTTCCATCTGTTTGTTTTTTTTTTTAAAAAAAAAGTTTATTCTAATCACTTTCAAATATTTACTTAATCGTCTGTCATAGAAAATTAGTAATATATACTATTCAGTTCTTATAATGTAGAAATCGAATTAACATGTACATACATAGAAACCTTATATATTGAACTCAAAATGATTTGCATAATGAATTAACACTTCATTAAAAAAACGCAAAGATTTTATTTGATATAGTCATTTAATTAAAATTATGTGTACTTGAATGAATTCTTGACTAAATGCTGAATTACAAAACTATTTCAAATTAGAAATAAAAAAAAGAAAATAATTCATTTCAATCTTAACAGTGTAGTGATAAAAAGGAAATCTATTTATTTCAAGTCGGTATAAACATGAAGAAAATTAACCATGGAATCATTTACTTCTTAGTGAAATGTTTTATTCGGATAGTAATTTGATTTTACTTCAAACAATTTTGAATAGAGTTCTGGAGTTTTCTCAATAAAGAATTCTTATTTATTAACAACCTACTTGCTCTGTCTAAAAAATTATATGAAGCAACTTTTATGTAGGTGTACCTAAATTTTTGATCCACACATTTCATGTAATCATAACTTAAAGCGCTCGAAAGCATTTAATAATACAGGAGATTTGTGGATACTACTATAAAAGTTTTAATTTATATCACGATTTGATTTTAGCTTGACCACTATTGAAAATTTAGAAGCACTGAATGACTTTTCTGTTCTGCCATAGTACTCTCCAGAAGTGTAATTCTAAAGCCACACAACCGCGAGTTAAACTTAGGACCAATGGTCTTGTGAGTGAACACCCAACTCCCTAATGGTGTTCATGTCTTACTTCAATCAATTCACGATATCGCATAACCTTCATCCAGGTTTTCAATTGTGATCTGGATGATTTACAGACAGAAATCATTTATCAGTATATATAATAAGAGTCAATTTGGTTTCAAGGAAATTAACGTAATGGAAATAGATAGCTGGACAATTCAGAGAAGTATTCACCGTGAACTAAGATGAACTAGTCATTATGTAGATAAACAAGTTTTTGTCATAATGAACTGTAATTAAATTCTTGTTGAAAAGTTATTTCATAGCGTAAAGTGTGTGCTTGCATGCTGAAATATATCTGATAAAAGTTTAGATAAAATTTCGCTGGAAAATCTTTACACTTGGAGAGTTATGAAAAAATATGGTGGGAAATATGACAAAAAGTTGAGTTATAAAGAAGATATTTTTCAAATGTTTGCTAAACTACTGTTTTTCTCGCATGTAACTTGTTTTTAAGCAAAATTATCTGTGAATATTATAGGCACTGTGTTTGATGATATCGAATAATGGTCATCTGTTGAATACAAAATTTGGCTGATTTCTCTCATCCGCGTACAGTTTTTTAATGAGCTACATTAGGATAAAGGGAAAAGGATAGAAATTGATTCTGACTGTTCGGTTTATAGTGGCCACTAGGGATTGCTATTAGATTAGATACTTTCGTCATAACCAAAGTAGAAAGATTATTACCAGGACGCAATTATCAATGCAAATATTTGTAGCGTGCGATTAAATATTTTATCACATAGTTCGAGCAAATATTTGGAATTAGAACGATTGTTAGATCGAGTAAAATTTTCGAATAATGTCATTAACCTGAGTATTTTTATCGATCCGTTTTTCTTAAAGTTATTGAGACAGAAGAATGGTCAAATCCGAGTTAAACTTGCCGATTTTGGACTGGCTTCAGTGGTGAAAAGAAGCATGTACACTGTATGCGGAACTCCAACATATATTGCACCAGAAATATTGGAGGAATCAGGTATTAGTGAAGTTTAAAATATTGTATTCCAAAAAAAGCTATTCAGGGAATGCGAGTGACTTGAAATATATATATATATATATATATATATATATATATATATATATATATATATATATATTACGCAGATAGAGTAAAGACTAGCAAAATGCAGAGATCTTCTTTCTAATAGTAGAATCTGTGAAAAAATCTGAAATGACAAGGCTTGGAATACCTCATTTAACGAGAAAAGCATGCTCACAATCTAAAAAATGGAAGAACAGAAAAATTATCAGAGATACATGTAAGAGCTTGATTCAATTGCAAAGCAACTAGCCAAATATACTAACGGAATAGTAATAGATCGAATAAATTGTTATAACTAATGAATTAGATGATACTTTTGTAAATATCAAGTGTAATATCAGATTTTAAACGGTCTATATGACTAGATATAGTGCCCTATGAACAATTATTTGTAAATTTTCAACAGACAGGATGATTAAATATGGGAATGACTTATTTGAACCAGTGAAAAAAGAAATAATTAAACGTGATTAACAGTTTAAAACTAAGAAGTGCTGATTAGTTTGCACCAAGGAATATGGTTAGACAATCAGTTTGCTTCTGAACATTAGTAATAGTGTGAAGATAGATTAAAAAAATATAGTTATTAAATATCTGTATCTTTGACAATTGGTACGAGCTATGAAACTAAGTATAAAAAGGGGTTAGTAAAAATATTTTGAAATAATACTCGGAAGCTAGATGTAGGCGTCGTATTTAATTCTTTCATTTTCTTTCCGAACATCTGAAAGAGGGTCCATTAATTTTTTTTTCATCATTCAATAAAATTCGGTCTTCATTTTGTGACTTAATCCCTGTTCTTGTGTACTTAGAAATGATTTTAATCTTTCCATCTTGACTTGGATGACTTTGTAATGGATTATAAATAGTCAGAAAAATCTAATCTTACAAACTCTTCACAATTAGACCTGTATGCTCCGTTATTTCAATGCTTAATTATATTTTGAGTTGATCCAAAGGATTGGAATGACATTTGCGAAATTATTTAGTTCACAAAGCTAGTGAACTTCAATGTTTGCACATTTATACTAAGAAGAAGCATCACTCCTAATCATATAATTCATAACTAAATGCGATTGTGTTAAAGTAAACGTCGTAACTGATGATTATATTGCACTGACTTTTTGCTTATCAATGTTATTCATAGAATGTTTTAAAAATAAAGCTTTTGTTCAGCTAATATACTACATGAATACAGTTAATATATAAATGGTATCAATGATTGTAATTTAGTAGCTATACAAATATATACTTTAATTTTAATTTTACTAGTATATTAACTATACTTCAGATACATTTATTACTGAACAGGAGAAAGGAAGCTCAAACTGTTATGAATATTTAACATCTAATGAAGAATTTTCTTTTTTACATCTTCCTCAAAACATTAGGTTATGGTTTGGAAGTGGATATGTGGGCATTGGGAATTATAACTTATATTATGTTATGTGGATTTGCTCCATTTCGTTCTAATGATAAAAGACAGTCAAAATTGTTTGAAAGTATAAAACGAGGTCATTATGTATTCTTGAGTCCTTATTGGGACAATATATCATCATGTAAGTCCCTGTTGTCAAAGTCTTGTTGCATTATATGTAGTCTTTATTAGAATTTCGAAGCTTATAGTCATTTAGGCTATTTATGAAAATTGCTTACCATGAATATGAGTTCCACAGCTATAGTCGATAATTAAAATACGCCACCGTGAAAAGTTTACTTCATTTAATAAGATTACCTGGATTTTTTTTTGACAATAATAGATATTTAGTAGTCTATACGTTAATTCAATGCAATAAAATTTCGTAAATAATTGAGGTTCTGACGTACCAGTAAACAAAACAAGCCGTTATGGTTGGTTATAAGATCAGTTTACTTAAAAAAAATAATTGTCATTGAAAAACACAAATCACCTCAGTCTTCATCAAAAGCAAATTATTATTTTCAAAAAGTCATGAAACTTTAATAATAAAATAAAAATCATATAAATAAGACAACAACAGCGGTAGACATCCTTGAACAATTCGAACTTGAAAAAAAGCTCCATTCATGTGAAAAAGATCATAGAAGTAATTAACACGTTAATGTAGTTGTAAATCTTTTTCAATGTGTATGAAATCAGTTTTAAATTAATGGACATTGAACAAATGATAGGGTAATTTGTCGCCATGATATAAATGAACAGTTTGATAGACTGTGTGCGTAAATTCATGTATGCTGATGATAGATTTCAGAGGCTAAAATAAAAAGATAAGAAAAAATTCTATTTATGATAGACAATTATAAATGCATTTTTTGTTCTTGAAATTTCACTAACTAGGTTTATTTGTAAATATTTAGTATCAGATATAAAGTCTTTTTTAATTTGATGTATTTAATATACTTATATACATCTAAACTATCAGTTAGTTGCAAAATCGAACTTAGCACGTATGCACATCATTTCAAGTTGCCATAACACATTAACACAGAGTGATGAAACTGTTATGCCGAATCCTAGATTAGTAAGGATGAAATAAGCATTATTGCTAGTAGAAAAGATTAGAAAACGAAGGTTTGATTCAATAAAACATAAATCAGTGAAATTTAGTATACAAGATTTTGACGGAAGTCGAAGAGTGGAAGCATATGCATAATTGTAGAGAATTTTAAGCTACATCATTCAAAGTTGATAACCACTAGTTACAATTATTATGCGACTCCCGACCAGGTAGTCTAAACCTATTAACATGGCTCAGTCCGATTGTCATTGACGGAGCAGACTGCCGTACAGTAAGCTCTTTCTATGATTAGCGAACGGAAGTCTCGTTTACACCACAAGTAATGCAAGTTGGCAAGAGCCAATTAAGTCATTTGTATCAGTGCGAAGATCAGGACTAATGAGACATCAAAGAAAAGTGAAACAGTTGATACGCCAAACTACTTTACTTCCAATCACCAGCTTATGCACTGAGGCAAGTTGTTTCTGAAAAAAATTTACAGTAGGAGATTGAGAATCGCATCCGAAACATGATTTCGTCAGCTTAAGGTGGTCAGAAGACTCTGTATTTAGTCAGCATATTTGCCTAACAGAACAATGTCACCTGCGTATCCTAAGTCAAGAAGTTGTCTCATCGTAGGACATCAATCCCTGAAAATTCAAACGATGAAAGTATCAACTCGAAAAACATCTCTATAAAAGTGAGGAAGGTGGACAACCCTGACGAACACTACTTAGATAATCAATTCAGATAACTGTTCACCATAAACTCTGACTCTGGCTTTGGATTTCCTTCTATTGACAGACACGGCCAAGAGTCAAACGATGTCTTATGGTTAAGAAATAAAACTGTTATCGGATGTCGGAAAATGTGCCTCTATTCTTTCTAGGACCTGTCGTAGTGTGAATATCTGGTCTATTTATATGTCCAGGATTTCTCGAGTCTGCTCTCCACATTCTCTAGTTAGGCGTTGAAGTATTAGTAGAGCTAATATTTTAGGCACTATATTAGTTAAACTGGTTCCCCTGTGATTGTCACAGGAGGACTCTGGTCCATTCTTATAGACTATGACGACCAGCAGTCGACAACATTTAGGTGAGATTATGTCCAGGTCCCGGATTATGGTTACGATCTCAGTTAACCTAATTGTTAAAATTGAATCGCCACCTAAAATCTTGGAGGTCGATCCATCAATTCCTGATTTCCCTTGCTTTAAATGGTTTATAGTCTTTGCAACCTCACTAAGAGTTGAAAGAATCACTTCAATTTTCCATTAAATTTGTTTGGAAATGGTGGGTGAATGAAGTTTGGTTGAAGTTCAATTGAAATGTTCCCTAAAGTCTTCTGCTTATAGGTTTAATCTACTGGATTAAGAGTGAATTATAGTCCCATCTCTTTCCAAGAGTTTCACCAAAATTCAGATTTAAAATACCGGTTCCCTTAACAAATCTGAATTGTTGTCTACTGTTACCGATTGCCGCTGCCTGTTACATCTCTTTCGCTTTTGCTACCTACCGCTATTCGCGATCATTACGTAGGCTTTTTATCGGCTTGTGTTTAAGCTACATTCGCCCCTCATCGTGTTCAGAGCCAGATGGGATGGGTTTCGGAGATCCTATAAGTCGCGCAGATGCTTCTGCAATCCACTGGTTTTTCAAACCCTTTTGAATCATTTTACTGTCAGATATTTCTGCTCTGTCCACAGCTTTTTGGATATCATTCCAAGCTGCCTCGTAATGGTTGTCAGATTTTCTAGTTGTTCTTGAAATGTTCTCCTCGCTTTTGTATCATCAGGTAAAAACCTTAAAAGGTTTCCTTGCTATGTCTTTCTTACGTTTAATAAACCACAGACATATGCATGCTCATACTAGAGCATGATCTTATGCTAAACATGTGCCCCAGAACTAGCGGTAATCTTCTATGGAGGATATCCATCGGTGGTTAACAGCAATATGGTAAAGTTGGATTCACCGTTAGATCGATTTTGGGGGTCGCCATGTCAAAACATCTTGTTCCGTATTCTTTCAGTTGGTATTTGCTAGAAATAGGAGGTTATCTGAGGATAAATACATCAGACAGTTGCCACTATCTGTTCCTTGAGCGATGACACAATAAGATCCACCCACGTGTCTTTCTGTTTCTTTTAATCTATCCAGTCCAGCATTAAGATCATTCATCACTATTACCACATCAAAATGCTTGGTTTTTTGAAGAAGATAGGAAAACTTTCAGTAAAATTCAACTTTCACCTCATCCAAGCTGTAGTCAGTAGGAGAGTGGGCAGAGACAACGAAGAGGCAAAGGCGAGTGGCCATATCTTTCAAAGTTCTTACTGTCCCATTTAGTCGGACAGTGCACAACTATCTACTAGACACCAGTCTAAAAGAGCTAATTTTGATTTATAACGCACCTGCATCATTGAGGTGACGGAAATTAGTGGTGAGATGTGAGAATACACGAAAGGTAAATCGACACGGCTTATTCTTTTGACATGGTGAGGTTAAATGAAAGACTATCGGATCCCGTACGCTCGTTTCGGAAACGCAGCATACATCATTGGCGCGTGATTCTGAAGTTCTAGCTGGGGAAGCCTGTTGTTCTACTTGACACAAGCTGTGAACATTAGAAGCTCCAACATGTGGTTTGGAGAGTGATTTCAGGAGACCAGGAATAATATTTTGTGTGCTCTTATCGTTTGCATCAGTGGCGCACAGTAATCAAGGTAAACGAGAAGGGTTAGACGTAGAGATCAAATTTATTCAAAGATGAGGGAAGGATTTGACCGTGGACAGTTTGATCTTCTATGCTTTTCAAGTTATGATGGCGGATCTCACTTATCGACTGCCCACACCGTGAACGGGTATACCTTGAGGCACCTGTAAAAGAAGTTGTGTTAGTATTGGTTCTATTGACGTGAAAGCTTGATATCAGAGCTCGAGGGTAGTACCTGAAAGAAGACGTGTTCCAGCACTTATAGCTCGATTGAGTCATCGCGATAGGTAAGCCCTATCGCAGTGTGAAGGCAGCAGCTACATTCGCGAATAATGTGTTCATATAATTTCGACATCGAATTTGTCAAAGCATTACGAGATTTCATTAAATATCACTTTAATACACAGTTATTCTTACTTTGTTTCAATATGTTTACTTCCTATTCCGACTAAGTACCAGAAAGAAAAGTTGTCTCTCTTTGTCTAGCAGAGTATAAGATTAAGATGATTGTGTAAAAGATAACTGTTATGTGATTGCAGTGCATAGACAGGAAATAATTCCTTAAACAATGCTCCTTAATGGTTAGCGAATTAACTTTCAAATGAACACTGATTGGATATTTTGTATATGCATCATGCATATCTAATAATTGAGATTAATATCACATATTCATTCATAATTCATAAATTTTTTCAAACGACATCAAGCGTAAATAATAATTAAAGAAATTAATTTTCAATTTAGACAGACGGAGAAATTTATGAAATCTTAGGTAGAATTATAACCTCCTTAGATGATATAATTAACTTTCTCATTGTAACTTTAAAAAAAAGTTCATTATGTATCTTTACTTTAAGTTGTTTTGTTGTGTTCTTGTATCTCTGTTTCTTATTTACTCTTTATGTACTGATAAATATTCAATCTTTTATTTTATAAAGATGCCAAAGATCTAATTACTGCACTTCTAGTTATTACACCAAAATCAAGATTAACAGCTCGTGAAACACTAGCTCATCCATGGGTATTTGGTTCTGGTCTACCGAATTCATCGGAACAATTTGAAAAACGTCGATTAGATTATCGAAGTGAATTAGAACAAAAGCACAATGAATTTAAACAATCCATAAATAAAAGAAATCCTAATAATTTAATTGATAAAAAGAATTCCAATTCCGATAATAACACTAGTAATAATAATAATAACAATAATAATAATAATCTACTCGGTATGAAAAAGTTGAAATTGCCTAGAATTACAAAAATCAAAGAGTTACACAATTAATTAATTCATATATAAACTATTTTCATATGAAATAAAAATAGAATGAATTAGGCTCTGAATAAACAAAACTATTGATTAATGATCTCCAAAATGTTTCTGTTATTGTTTTTTTTTGTTTTTGATTGTGATTTTTCTCTATTTTCAAAACACATTGAAAAAGAGTAGCATTTATTATTATCATCATTTTCAAAATTTTATGCTTATTAACAATCAGTTCTAAACTCTCTCTCTCCCTCTCTCTTCTCTCCTGTGCTGTTACTTCAATCTATCTTCTTCATGTCATCTAACATTACCATGTCTTTCAATTTAGTGAGAAATTCTCAATTTTTTTTAAAAAAAAGATTTTTATTCTTAGGAATTGAAAACAAAAAACAAAACAAAATAAAATAAAATTCATATCAACAGTGTTATTATTTTTACTAACTAGACTACTCATATTTTGTTAACACAGTAACATTATGATGATACATTTCAAGTTTAATAGAGAGAGAGAGAGAGAAAAAAGAATAAGAAAACGCACATACTTTAAAAATCACTATAAAAATAACAAACATAACACGATACTTTAAAATCAGATTATTACAGCTAAACAACGTGCTTCCTTTTGTTTTTTTTATATTTTCCACCTAAAATCACTTTCTTACTTTATTTCATTTTATGAACACTCTTCATTTTGAGTACATGATTTTTTTGTCTTTTATTCACTTACCATCATCATTATCAGCATCATTAATTAGTTAAATGATGTTTACATATATTTCTTGTTTTTTTTCTGTGTGTTTATTTATAATTCTATTGAATGTTTTTATTTTTATTTTTTATTTTTTTGCCTTCAAAAAATTGATCATCATTTGTGAATGTATTTCAATCTTTCATATTTGAGTTATTGTAGATAATAAATAATCTTATTAAATTGCATTGCTCAACAGTCAATCAGTCAGTCAGTAACACATGACGAATGTTGTTATTCTCTTTCTTTTTCGCTTTTCTTTTTTCCTTCTTTTTGTAGTATTTTGTTTTTCTTTCATCCGATTATTTTTTTCTCATCAACACTGATTCATTGTTCTCCTTCTTAATCTTTGTGATTTTTTTTCTTTTTATATAAAAAATAAATGTACAATAATCCAGATTATTTACAACATGTGGCATAGATATGTAATTATATTGTAAAATTATACATTCAATGAAAATTAGATAATAAAATTATTATTATTATTATCATTATTATATTAGGAGATTTGAGAAAACTGCATGTTTTCATATTGTTATTATTATTATTATTAAATCAATAAGCCAATGTTTAAAATGATTAAGACATTAACTTGTTGACATTCAAGTAGTGCGCACTTGGAACAATGTTCCATCTAGTTTGATTTTGTTAATTAGATGGCATTATTTTTTAACTATCAGATACATTAAAAGTGTGAATCCAAATAGATTAAAAGAATTTATGTTTTGCTAATAAGATACATCTCAAAAACTACCGCTCTCGTTAAAAAAGACGGAATCACCGTTTATCCAAGCTTTGATACTTAATTTTACTCACAGACTACATTAATGGCACTTAAAACTTGAATTTACTTACACATATTCTGAGTATAACATTTTCCTTAGTCACTAACACACACAAATACAAGATCATGTCTCACAATAATCTCCATGTTTAGAGACATTAGACCTGGTTTTGACTGTACGAAGTATTTTATTTAGTTCTTCCGCATTATTTAAAGTTCAGTTAATTTAATTCAAATGCTTATTTACTCTGGGGATGCTACCTACACTGAGCTAGAAGAAGTTAGAAAATTACTTATCTGCTTATGAGGATATAATAGATGTTTTATTTGGTACATTTTTGACAATCTACTCAATGCTCGATTTGTTTAAAATTACCAAGTCGAGCCTAGGTAGAAAAAATTGTAAGTTAGTGGTTATTTTGAACATTTACAGAAACTGAAATTAATTTCTATCCCGAAGTGACGTCAACAGAGAAGGAAGTGAAAGCAACTCAGCACCCCCTAACTGTTCCACTCTAGGTTTTAACCAACCTAAAGTCCCTAAACCTCATTGAAGCCAGCAAAGAAGTGAATAAGTACGATTATAGTTCACGATAGACACGATACAACTCGGTCAATATCAGAGTTTACATTTTCAGTGTTAAATTTTCGATCGGAGTCAATTTATAATATAAAAAAGTGTTTATTCGGTTTTATAATTTCTCTAAATGGCACTTGATCTTAGGAAAAGTATTCCCAAAATGATTGATCGTTTCTTGATAAATTGTACTTTACGTAAAGAAAACAGTATTTATTAGTTAATGATAGTAAATGGTAAGACAAAACGTCTATTATCTTGTAATTCACTAAACAATACAACTAGTACTTATTGTACTAATTTACAAAGCTCACAGTGATTTCTTCACTAATATAGTATTGAAACTTTACGAATGGATTTAAAACGAAATAGTACTTTTGATATCAATGAACTATGAGTATTCAGTTGGAGGTTTTTTTTCCAGTTGATAGTTTTTTTAGCCATAATTAAACAAAATCGGTTGGTAATTTTTTAATGCACCAAACACGAATATATATATATATTGGTTTCGTTTAACCGAGTATAAAAAATCATAGTGTTTTCATTATTGCCTTAATCAACAAAATATTCAGATCAGATGATAGCATTGATTGATTTTTCACTTATTTGTAAGGTCAACTTTCGTCACTTGTGTATATCATAATATAAGGTCATTAGTATGACAATGTTGAAAGTACACAAAATAATTAATTGTCTATACTAGCTAGCTATATTGAAATAATTCTTCTTACATTATTTTTCTAATATTAACATAAATAATGATTAACATAACGGGAACTAATTCAGTGTAATTACTATATGAGAGTCATAGTGAAGTGTTTGGGAAAATGTGTGGACTGGTTGATGATCCAAACGTTAGAGCACAAGAATGGATTCATTTGCACCATCGACGACCATTCTACGTTGTCGCTTCTCATCTTTAACCACTGGTTATGATTATCACACAGACCCTCACTAAGTGATTCGCACGACCGCTAATACAGATCAGTTCAATTGCCAATGATTTCAGAAACTAATTGCACGTTTTGGTTTGACGATCTCATTCTCCTAAACATGTCAACATCGGTTATCAATGGAGGCAGAAGTTGCGTTTACATAATACTTGTTCCAACTACCTAAAATGATGAAGATTCACAACCCGTAAACCTATTTCCCACCTGTTTATCTTTGATTTCAAGAGTCAAAGGTGTAAGGTACATTTTCTTACTTCGAATTATTTAAAAAAAGGAGTAATTTTCACAAGAAAATCAAATTCATATATAATAAAATTGAATAAGTATCCTTAAACGACTGTACATTGCCTGGAAAACTGTTGAAAACCAGAACGTATTTCGTACCAAACCCATTCCTCTCAGATGAATTACTACCGATTGCAGACTAACTGGAAGAATGTTGTGAATTTTTTTTCTCTTATACTGAAAAACTTGGATTTGGATCTTACATCCATTCGTTGCTGATATAATAAAGTGAATATACTTTCACAGACATTCAAATTAAACAATTTTAGATATTAAAAACATCTATTGTTGTAAAAGGCTGAGTTAAAACTGTGAACCCTGTTATTCCTTTCCATTCGTCAGTAAACTTAATGTCTATGTATGTATATGTTTGAAGTATAACACAGATTAATGTGTTGTACACTCTTGTTTATTTAATTACTTCCTCAATTCTTTCATATGGATAACATCTTCAATTCCTAAGTGATATATATATATACATGGTCAGTTATTTCGTTTTTGTAAAACTAGTTATTTACCGGTTGGATCGATTCTGATGTGATCTCAGTTATTAAGCTGTTTATCGTACTCTAATAACACACAATAAATTCAGAATTACAATATAACACCTTTCTATATCCACATTTTATCTATAGATATTAGTAAACATGGAAAAGAACATTCTTGATTCTTTTCCTACTTTTTGATTCATTCCAATAAACTGACCAATTTAGGTAGGATGTTAATTATAGAATAATATTACATTTGTGCTATCCTAATGAGATTAAACTTGAATTACTCACATCTTGTTACTTCCAGTTAGTCACTTTTTCGCAGTGAATGGATTGAAATTTCTTCTCATTGGTATGTATATTTCAAATACATCATAATTTCTTATTTTTTTCAGAAAAAGGGATTTCAATATTTTCTTCGCCATTCAAGTAGACTATTGATTTTTATTTCGATTTCCCACACACCACTGACTTATCTGAATCATGCTCACTAGGATATTAATGACTTAAATTACAAACAATTATGACACTGGAACTACAATTTTGTAAGTAAATTGATCAATTAGCGATTCAGCTAACAATAGATTTCATTTTACAAAGTTTGTATACAGTCAACATAAAAAAAAGCCCAAATTACACTTTTAGTATATGATGGGTGGAAATTTAATTCTGTTGTAATATTTAAGCTACTTTTCAAATGATAAGTGAGTAGTTTGATAGAGTTACTCTGATTGGTAAAATTCTAGTTTAAAATTAAGATTGTACATACCAATAATTAATTTTAATCGGTTATTGTTTGTTAAAAAATAATGTCAACTTTCATTCTAAAAATGATACTCATTAAAAACTACTTATTTAATCATTCACTAGTAATGAAATCATTTAGGTCTATTTCATAAATTTTAAATAACAAACATGTCAACTGTGATATATCATTTCAGTGGTAATTAAGTAGTAGTATTTAAAAATTCACAAACACTAACAACCATGTGATATTTCTTAAATTAAACAAACTCTGACTGAATAAGGAATTATTGAGGTAGTTTGTAAAAAGCTCTTGGTAAATCGAACGATAATGTCCAACGAACACTAACACATCATGTTGTCTTTTTATTTACTGACTGAATTACTTAATATGTTACATGAACATCCGAAATAATTTAAGTGTCGACTAATCAAA